CATGGGTTTATAGAAACGAGATGTTGATATGGGTTGAATATGAAATATTTTTCATTTATTGAATACTTGCATTTCAAACAAGGTGTAATTCAGCAGACGTGATCATTCGTTATTATTTATTAAATGAAACTTTGATGCGTGTGCGTCCATTTCTCATAAAGCTGCTTAAAATATTAGCGGATTTTTTGAGTGAACTGTAGGCTGTTACTGAGCAGGATACATAGCGTGGCTGTTCGTCACCGCAGGATCAACTGAACAGATCTTATGTATGGCTGTTCGTCACTGCAGGGTCAACTGAACAGATCCTATGTGTGGCTGTTCTTCACTGCAGGATCAACTGAACAGATCTTATGTGTGGCTGTTCGTCACCGCAGGATCAACTGAACCGATCCTATGTGTGGCTGTTCGTCACCGCAGGATCAAATGAACAGATCCTATGTGTGGCTGTTCGTCACCGCTAGGTCAACTGGACAGATCCTATGTGTGGCTGTTACAGTAAAAATTACAATTTTTACAGTACAGTACAATTACAGTAAATCCTCTGAAAGGTCAAAGTGCCCCCAGGCGTGCGATGCACGACTCAGGCCACGCGGGGTACACAGTCAAGCGTTCTTTGTGTTCAATAATTCACGTACAAGCCGCGTTTACGTCAATATCGATAGCACTGAAGCATTTATGACGGAAGAAGCTTCAAGTCTTAGTTACCAACATTAGCAGTAAGTAGTTCGCTTAAAAGACCATTTATATTTGATACAGCTCCATACTGATTCATAAAGCTCATTGAATTTAATACAAAATCGTTAAATACGACATCCACGGTATACGAGTATTTTAGCAATAATCATTACACATTTGTTCAAATGGACAGATTAAAAAACGACAATAATTCTTAATTGTATCTGTGATTTGTTAGGTATGGCGAAAACATTGTCTTGAAAACGTACGCAAGTGTCATTGCGAAGCGAACAAAATGCGATGGGGATGTGAAACCTATATCAGTGATCACAGTGTAACTTATGACTGAAAAAGCACTTGCTACTCACAATATTTGAAGTTCTGATCATGACAGTGCCGATGTTGATAATGGTGCGCTAGCGATTGCAGTTTAGCTTAATTTGCAGAATAAAAAAGATGTTTGTTCAAAGAGCTATGTCCACCATTACAAATTTCAGCGTTTAAGAAACAGCTGTAGAAAAGCTCTGTATGATGGTGATTCAGAAATTTATTAAAATTTAAAAAAAAATTTATTTGCCTGCATCGATCCATCCGTAAAGGAATTTTGTCAAGCATCAAAGAGTGTCGTGAATTTCTCGCACGGTTGTTAACCTCGCTCGGTACAAAGTCTATTGCAGGGTCACTCAGGTATTCCTAAGCGACCGATCGTTTGCTTGGTCGCGCTTCTCGGAACGACATCGAGCCGAGTTCTTGAGTAAGACAGGAAGGCATTCTCGACATTCGAAAATTGCAAAATTGTCATCGGTGGTCTCTTTATCTTTTTAAATATCATTCTCATGAGTCATGAGTTTGTACTGTAGAAATGAAAATTTCACAGAATAAAGCATATCAAATCAGTCTACTATAGCCGGTGGTTTTCAGTATTTCAAATCCAGTTACGCGGAATATTATTTGGTGTAAATTATTATTATTATTTTTGGAATAATAATCATGCTTTCTTCGAACATATTTTTAATAGTTTGCTCAACAACGACTAGTAATTGTCTTAGATTCCTAAAAAAAGTTACATACTTTCCAAACGAAAATAACAAAAAATTTTAAAGTCTATGCAATACTTTAGAGATTGTCTGGGAATATCCCATTAATAACATGATAAGTATAAATTTAAGAGATTTGGGTATTCCTCTTCAGAAAATATCAGAATATCAAAATAGAGACATAAAATCTACATAAACAGTCATAACAGGACTTGAAATTATCCTTTCCTGCTGATGGTTTGGTTTACAAACGAAGTGCAGGATAAATTTTCTTCAAAAGTTCTGTTCTACTCTATTTGTTATATGTAGGATATTTCCACTTTTACTACTTACTGCAGACAATGAATATTTGAGTGATTTTAGCATGTCATTAGCGTGTGGAAAGTAATCATTACAGGTAACAATTGAACTCATATCATCACGCAGTAATTAAGCTTAATAATAGCCTCAATAATTTCCTCGAACGAACAGGTCTCGGAAAAATATGGAGCGTATTTATTTTACCTATACTTGAAGCACCCAATCAACAGTGGACCAAAAATCATTTAAATTTAAATTCCGGTGAAAACAAAGCGCAGTTAGTGATCCTGAAGAATAATTGGGCTTGGTATTATGGTGGATTCTTCACTATTTAATCAAAATAGTTGGAATTTTTCCAACTTTAGATGGCTCACATAGGAGCCATCTTATATCCAAAAACTTACATAAATTTTTTTATTGCCTTTCATTTTTCTCAATCAAGATGTTAAATTTACCGGCAAAATGGTCTCACCAGCAATTTATACCAATAAAATACCCTGATATTGCACAGTTCAATAGTTCAACTTGCTGCTAGTATTGCGTGGGCATAACCTGCAGTAAAATTGGATTAAGTGTACCTGTTTCCTTTTATCTGGAATTAAAGAGCTTGATGAAATTTATTTAAATACGTTTAGAGAAGAAAATTGTTGTAATCGTTTTATGCAATTGTTGTATTCAATTTATGCATGGTTGATTCACGGGACTCGAAAAGCATGAATAGTAGGTCAAGACGACGCATTTGAATAGTTAATTCATAGAAGCTGATGCCAGAGTCCATGTTTCTAGGTCACAGTACGCAGAAGTGGAATTTATAGCAGACGTGACGATGACGGACAGTCTTTGTGCATGGGCGAATATTAGCTTCAATCTCAATTGAAAGAAAAAATTTCATTGTGTCAGGCATGAAAATTTAAATCTTGATTCGTTTTATGCATTTATCTGTCAAATATATTACTATTGTGAAGATCTATTGGAGCATCGGAATTTTTGAGAACTTTGAGTTTCAGTTTTTCGGCTCAACAAAATAACTTTGCGACCTTTTCCAACAGAGATATTAATTATAGTAAACATTATTCAAATTACAGTATGATCATATATAAAAGAAATATCATTCTTAACGATGTTAGTACGTCTGTACTATCATAGACTACGCGAATAATTGTTAGGCGCAAGAATATAGCATAAGTTTTTTTGCGTTGGTCGGCTAATCCATTTGTCCTTGACCGGAAAAAATCAAACGTCCTTGATGTAATGCCCAATAATTTGTGTAACACGAAGACCCTTTATGTCTTAGCAGTGAAACGCTTCTTTGACAAGAGGTCACTGATATAAATGGGCCTATAAAAATTGTCTGTTTAATTTTCACGTTGTTAAAGTTTTCTCTCTGTCGAAATGTTCTTTATCATGAAACTTGATTTCCGAATTATGACAATAAAGCAAAATTTTACTACACTGAACGACTAAATTCAATGCAGCAAAATTTTTCGACCTCAGTTTTAATTAAAATATGAATTTTTACTTATTTCGAGCGCGTTCTTCTCTAGTGCATCAAGTCCAATTAGTCTCTGGGCTTCACTTGCTTCTTTTTTAACGGGTATTAAGCGATTAGAATTAAGCAAAGTAAATACGCTAACCTGTATTTGGTAGCGATAATGTCACGATGAGAATGTATTTCTCTGCGATTTATTCATAAATGTTGAATCTGCTGAATTACGCCGTGGGTAAAGGTCGCGAAGAGGCGCTACGCAGCGGCCTGCGTGGCATCGATCTCCGCGTGGCGTCTGTGTGCGATTAACAGCCGCGGTGTGAACAGCTCACGCGACGAGCTCTGTCTCTCTTTGATGACCTTTGGGCACGTAAAATGTGGCCTTTGTGATATAGATGAATATGACTTTTTTCGTCTAAGTTGAGTAAGATTGTACGAAATTAGTACGTTACAGAAAATTTAAAGAATTGATGTCACTTATTTGCTTAAATCGCAAGTTAACTAAAAATTTAAAAGCAATGAAACTCCGAAACTGGACTCCGAAACGTTTTCTATAAAGATATGAATTTTGTGGACTATTCTTTGCATTTAAATTTTCAGAAAATTTAAGTGAAGCATATGAAAAGGAACGACAACTGACGATGAAATTATTATTAATATTTTTTGGTATAGATTTTAGAGCTTTTCAAAAATCATTGTCCACTATGAATAACTAGATCGAAATTCAATCTACTTCAATTTTTTATGACTCTATTTCACTATATAGTTACAGTTCTGATGCTGATTCTATTTTTTAAAGTCCAATATTCTAGTTCTCCTTTGTTCTCGTCCATTGAGTAGCTATAGTTAAATCGAGTTCAACTCTAGTTCTCTCTAGTGCTGAGTCGATCTAGTTCCATCGAGTTCAACTCTAGTTCTCTCTAGTGCTGAGTCCATCTAGTTCCATCGAGTTCAACTCTAGTTCTCTCTAGTGCTGAGTCCATCTAGTTCCATCGAGTTCAACTCTAGTTCTCTCTAGTGCTGAGTCGATCTAGTTCCATCGAGTTCAACTCTAGTTCTCGCTAATACTGCATCGAACCAGTTCCATCGACTTCAGCTTTATTTATTTCTATTGCTGAGTCGATCTAGTTCTATCGAGTTCAACTTTAGTTCTCTCTAAGAACTTGTTAACAATTGATTCAAATATTAAGATAACAAATTGCACGAAACATACTTTTTATTTGTCATCTATGATAATTTCTAAATAATTCTTTGGTTCTGTATCCTGGATACGGGGCTAGGTTCTAGGAAGACCTTCGTCGCGATCGAGCGGCCGACCGAACAGGCGGGCTGACCTTATGTGGGGGGGAGGGGGAGAGTGAAGAGGGGGTGGTGTGTGAAGGGGAGGAGGGTGGTCTGGAAAGGTTCAATGGGGCTGGGAAAAATGTGACGGTGTGGGAATATTACACCAACAAGTGTGTATTTCTGGTCTTATTTCAAATGAGATCTACGATAAAATGATTTTTTTATATAGTTACAGAGTTCAAAGCTAATAGTAATTATATCTAAAAACAATATTTGGAAGCAGAACTCCAGTTCTCACGAGCGTGAGTTCTCCCGTTCGTCTCATGAGTGCCAGAACTTATCCAAGTCCCTACGTGGAGTCTGACGATATCTTGGGTGCGTTACAATAAGTTTCTTCACTTATGTTGTAATAATGGTAGAAAATAGCATATAAGTTTGTACAGTGCCAACATCCATATAAGATAAAATCATTCCCAAATCTTAGCGTATCTGTAGTTAAACAAAAAATTTCAATTATCTTCCTCAATAAAAAATAAAATATCACACAAAATGTCACAAAATTGAGAAAAAGTTAAAAACATGACCTGTCACTATACTGAAAAAAAAAACAATTAAAATCAATGACTAGACTGTTACCCAACCTTATATTAGAATTTATAAGAGATGACACCCTTCATTCGACCGATAAATCTTCACAAACAAACCTGCTTTGAAATTAACTGAGGTCATACATTATATGAGATCGTATCATCACAACTCGATGTCGAATTTCTGTCGAAGGAACATCGTGTTCATATCAACAAGCCTATGCCTATGAATGCTATGCTCTTCATATCATTATGTGAATGTAATGAATCATCCACGTGAAAAAGTGCATATACACAACGACACGTAAGTTCGTTATCGTGATATTTCCTTAATTAGCATTCATCATTCCTTAGAATAGCATGACACGACAGATATGTTTGTATTGATGTGCTTATTAATGCCATATTATTCATCCGCGATTCTTTAAATAGTCCAATTATCATATCATTTCATAATGTAATGTTCGAATCAATGCTGTATTCTTCATCGGTCATTATAGTCTAAACACAATTTATTAACCGCATTTCCTTTTTCATGTTGCATTCTTCATCAGCAAATATTCTTATAGGCTAATTATCATCTTATTATAATTTATTATTTGCATTAATGTCACATTCTTCACCAGTCATAATAATTACTATTATCAGTTATTAGCACAACTTATTAACCCCATAATAATCACACTTTATGTATATTTCTATTAATGTCGTACTCTTCATTAGTTATCAATAGTGAATGCCACTCATCATCTCATCATTATGACCACATTCATCATCTCATCATTATGACCACATTCATCATCGTATCATTATGACCACATTCATCATCTCATCATCATGACCACATTCATGTGGTCATGATGATGACATAATGATGCACAAAATAAGTGCATACTTACTATGTACACTAATTTATATTATTTTTAATTCAACTATGCTCATGCGTCACTTGAAAATAATATTTTAAAATCTGAAGGAAAGATCAAATATGACCACATTCATCATCTCATCATTATGACCACATCTGGACCACGAGCCACCGCACTTTAACAGTTCCGGACAATTAACGGAACGGACGGCGCGTGCGTTCACTTCTCTCGTATCTTGCGGAGGCTACGCGCAGTTCGCTTCATTCGCCCGTGGGGAGCTGGAGCGTTCAGTTGTATTGTGTTCCTGTGTTAGAGCATCAATTATAACTTAAAAATATATAAAAATTTTATAAATATACCTTATAAATTAGAAAAGGAATAAAAATCATTCACATGGAAATTTGAGCGGAAAATTAAAAGTACTCACTTTGTTTCATGAGAGTAAAATTTAGAAAACTTTTCACTGCATTGATTCGTTTGGTAGGGTTTTTAAAGCCACTTGTAACCTGTTATTTTACTACAATATTTCTGTTATAGAATATCATCTGTAATTTCAACAGTTTCCTAGCACGATGAGTGAAGGTGAGTGTGGGCGAAAAATTAAATGATCGAATAAACAAGTGGAAAATACATGAAAATGTAAAATATATTAAGGACTTGACCTGACAGGCACAGGCCGTTTAGTCTTAGTTCCTTTGCGTGACAAGAGAGGTGACCACGTCACGATACATGCATGTTGTAACATGAATGTCTAGACTTAATTTATTTCTTAATTCTTCAGAATATTACTCTGACCCCGGCCAATCAACCTGACCTGTAAGCTGAACATCAGCCATGGATGGCAGGGCAGTTACCATGAAAATATTCCTGTTATCCCTGAACATCTAGTGTTAATTTGTTTATATTCAAGCAATATAAAACAATACAAAGATTTTCAGACAACTTGGATAATGTATATATCTTTAAAAGGAATAGTGAGAAAAAGTTCTTTATTAGTTAATAATGGATATAAATCAATATTGTCTAATGAAATCTCATCTCGATCGAAGTTCTTGGCAGGGACTATACTTTCAAAAAAAGTTAAGAGATCGTAAGTTCATCAGCCAATCATTGACGACCTTCCAAGCAAAATCCACCAATCATAGACAAGAAAATGGAGCGTAAGTACTTACATTCACTTAGCCAGTTTTGAAAGTATGGCCCCGGAAAGTCAGGATTAGAGAAACGCTGAGCTGAGCTATGCTGAAGGCACCACCTTTGATACCCGCGGTGCAGGCAACCATGGCTCAGGCGTCTTGGAGGGGGGGAGGGGGGAAGAACATCTCGCACTGAGCGACGAGCGCATTATTGTTTTTAGGCCGATAAAATCATCATTACTCCTTGACTGGTAACAGCATCATTACACCTTGACTGGTAACAGCATCATTACTCCTTGACTGGTAACAGCATCATTACACCTTGACACTTGACTGGTAACAGCAACATTACTCCTTGACTGGTAACAGCATCATTACTTCTTGACTGGTAACAGCAACATCACTCGTTGACCTGTAACAGCATCATTACTCCATGACCGGTAACAGCAACATCACTCGTTGACCGGTAACAGCATCATCACTCCTTGACTGCAGTAACAGCAACATTACTGCTTGACTGGTAATACCATATTATTGTTTGCCCGATACCATCAATACTCTTTGGCCGATAAAATCATTATTACTCCTTGGCCGACAAGCTATGACATGCCACTAACAAGCGCCTTCAATCACGCGGAGAAGTCGTTCGAGTTAGTCTGCTTCAAGACTGGTTATATACCATGTTTATTTATAAATCAATTTGTTCCTGTTTTTTAAATAGTTTGCACTGCTCATCTCGATTGATAGAAAGTGAAATGGCAATAGTCCTTATATGGTCGTCTAAATTTGCACAAAAATCGACGTAATGGCTATTTATGAGCATAAACGTAGAAATATATAATGCAAGCGTTTGAATTGAATTTTATGGAAAAATTTTGCAAAAAAGTATTCAACTTATATAAACTAATTTTAATAGATCCATCTTTCAGTTGGACACACAGTAAATAAGATGTAAATATACCCATAAAACGCGCTCCCTTCCAAATAGTTTGCATAATGGCGCAAGACTTGACGAGAGAGTTTGATACCTGTGGAAATAACTCCATAACCACAATTGAGCCTAAACTACCATTTTTTTATTTGTAAAAATGTCACTTTCGTTTGATCTCTAAGTTATGACCCAAGAAGAAAACATATCATTCGCTAAGATATTATTTACGGGAAGCCAAAAGACAATATCAGGCGATTTTAGGAAAATTCTTCACATGACATGACCAAACGTTATTTATTCACGAACTGTATAGTTTACATATGTTCGGAGAGTATTACACCGGAGACAGCAAATGAGCCAGCAAAGGTTCAAAGATTGAGATCTTCACGGTGCTGACGGAGCGTCATAATCAAGGACGAATTTATTCACCCTCTAGCAGTTTGTTGCGCGAGGATTGCGTGTAACTGGAGTACGTGACAGCAGCACGCGTTGTTAAGTCGTTCACGTCACGAGGCAGTAATGCACGCAGCCATGCAATGATAGCATTCAATCATTGCGCACGCGAATGTAGAAACTCATCTGTAAGAACTTTTATTTTCATCAATCATTACGCAAATACAGGATTTGCTAAATATTGCACACTTAAGCTAATTTCTAGGATAGCTTTATTTCATAATATCGTAACAAAATTTATAGCACAATTTTTTTAGTTTCGAAATTAATTAAACAGAAATTCAGCTAAATCTTGAGTTCAGACCCTATCTCGATATTGCAGTCTGCATCACAGACTTTTACAAACTTCTAAACTCAAATTTCAAGTCCAATAAATCACATTCTGTATCATTGGCAATCCAGAGCTTCAAGACTCATATCCAAGTTTCAATACACGAATTCTGTATCCCTGACGATCACAAACATCAAAACACATTCATCAATTTTTCTGTCCCTAGCGCTGCGCTGCATGTGCATTTTCTTTCACCATTTCAACACTAAAATATATAGTGCCATTACTCGCATTCACCGACCATTACTAAGCTCCAAAAGCCAAATCTCGATTTCCATGTCCCACATTTTGTAACTCCAACTTTAGGAAGCTCCAAGACTCAAATTTAAAGTACTATTACCCGCATTCAGTATCAATCTCAGACTATCACGAGTTTCAACACACAAACCTCAAATTACATAACCCAAATTTTGCATCACGGAAAATTACAAACACTAACATTAAAATCTCAAACTCTATTTTCCACAATCTCCATCACTGAATCAGAAAATCCTAAGTTATAGCACTCATATCTCAAGTCCATCCCCCTCATTAAGTACCACTTATTACCACCAACTTCAAGATTGCCTTTTCACTCCCGCAGGACCAATAAACGACGCAAACGGAAGGACGGCGAGCGCCAAGACTTACAGTAGCGTGAGGAAGGTGATGGGAAGTGACGCTGAGTACAACAACATGGATCGCGACCCTAACAATCTCAACCACCACCTCCAGGTAAGATGTCCTCCACAGCAGCCAACGAGTTCATTCTTCTATTAAATTTATTTCGAATTCCGTAGAGATGTCAATTAGTATCAAATGAATTAAAATTATTATATCGTGTACTCAGAGGGTTCTAAATTGATTAAAACTTATTGATGTCAGTTAATAAATGTCTCTTAGCTTATCCACAAAATGTCAAGAAGACTTCGTAACTGAAGAATGACGATTACGGTTCAGGAGCTCATGTGATAGCCATATATTGGTCTTCTTTAATCCTTGAATTAACAAACAAATATTGCATTGCAGCTATTTGTTGATTTATCATTTCAGAAGCCTCTTTTGGTTGAAACCCATTTTCTATGAACTTCAGCAGCATTTACAAATGAACTACTTATAGTTACGATTAGATTATATTAAACAGACTTCTTCCACAATTATCTCCAAACAATTCGCGTTATTTAATTTAATAATCCATAAAAAAATCATCTGTCTCAATGCTACTATTCTGTCCGAGCAAAATAAATTTTCACTATATATTTTTACCTGGTCATTCGATTAAAGAGGTTAACCTCACACATATTGTATTATTCTGATTTTGAATGTCATCTGTGTCGTATTGGGTAACTATTTTTTTACCCATATTATTTTAAATGTCCGACACATTTCTGTAGATAACGTTGTTGCAATATATTGCAAATTTCAGATTCAAGATTTCACTTCTTTCCTTCACTGGCCCATCCATTAAAGGATGCACGTAGTTGTACCCAAAAGGTGGACACCTCCAAACGTTGTTGAAACTGCTTCAGGTTGGGCCAACTTCAAAGAATTGCGTTGTACCGTAATAATGTTTACAAAAAATTCAATGATAATATCAAACTAATTTTATGCATCACATTTCAGGTGATGTGGGACGATGTAGTTGGTGAGCCCGAAGGACTCCACTCAATGGACTCCTGCTGGAACTGCTCGCGCAAAACCTACGACGTGTCACGAACTTGTTGCTACGGTCTCCTTGTCATCCTCTTCGGACCGCTCATCGCGCTCATCAACGGCTGCAACTTTGCCTGCCTGTCCTTCGGCGTAAGCATGTGTTAATTTTGGTTAATATGTTAATTCAGATTAATATGTCATGTGTGTGTTAACCTGAGATTCCTTCTAGCACTCTCAAACTTCATCAGACTTCCAACACAATCATACACGAACGACACGATGAGAGTGTGATTCGTTCAAGTTGAGATTTCGATTTCTCAAGTCTCCTCTTCAACGTAAGTTGAACGAGTGATAACAGCAACGAGAGTGTTCACTAACAATTTTTCCTTTCTGAATAATAATGACACTTTTCATGCAGTGATGAATGAGTTGGCACATATGTCCCATTAAAGTTTTATCACAATCCGAGCGAGTTTCTTTCAAATTAAGTTACTAAAAATAATAATTATGTCAAAATTCTAAAATAATATTATTTTTAACATGATTTCAGCACTATTATCCGAACTAAAGACGTGCATACCTACTATGCACACTAATGTACATTATTTTTAATTCAACTATGCTCTTGCGTCACTTGAAGACAATATTTTAGAATCTGTAAGAAAGTTTAAATATTTATGAAGATTTATTTAAATATATTTACATAATATATTTTAAAAATGTTCATTGAACAAAAACGATGACTTTCACCACAAATTTCAACTCATGCGAATAAGCAGCAGCGACAATGAAGATTAAATTAGGGACAGCAAATTAATTATTATAACTGAACACAAGTGTTCTATTCATAACTCTCTCCCACTCTTGCACAATCTTTATAGATGTGAAATGGAAACATGAACATCTCAAACATGAGTTCAACACAAATCTACTAACGTTTGAAAACATATAGCATTTCGCATGTGTTTATTGCATTTGAAATTGCACGTGTTTGTGTATCCTTTTAAATTCCGGTAACCCACTATAGTTTTGGTGCGTTTTTGTGCACGTTTTTTCTACATTCCAGCAAATTTGGTGCGCTGGACCTTGTCTTCGGTGCTGTAAAATCAACTGCGGCACATTTAGAAAGTTCACAGAGACTTGCCTGCTCGCCGTATGCGCGCCCTACGTCGAGGTCTGCGCTCTCATCTTCTCGAAGATCAAAGTCAGGCACCAGAAGCTGCCTGAAGCCGACACCGACAACGCTGCGGACTACTTCAATGTTTAGTAATGCATTGCATTCGGAATGATCGCCGGCGACCAAAAGACAAAATTAGTTTACTAAAGAGCAGAGTAATTTGCTCTACATCTTTCTGCGTTTCATGAAATATTTTTTTCTATTGATTTTATCATTAATGCAACATGTGAGCAAACTTTTATCATGTGAGCAAATTTTATTCATTTTTATCATTAATGCAACATGTGAGCTGAAGCATTTTAAGGATTTAAATACATTTTAATTTCTTATCCAAATGAAATAAAGAATTTTGTAGCGCAAGTAAATGTAAATGAAATTCAGAATGTAATCACACCTGAGTTTTAACTCCAAAACGCAATAATAATTGCAATTACGATATTATAATTATATTTATTTAACAGTTAAATTACTATTTCCCAGCCAGCCTGGTTATTTTTTTAAATTTATTTAATTTATATTTAAGAGGGTTCAGAACACAATTTTTTAATTTATTTGCAGAACACCCGCTACGTAACTCATATCTCTAATTAAGTGAACTAAAACCATTCAAATACATTTTTTTTCCACGATCAAAAATGCACAAGAGTTTGTAGAGTGCCTTCAAGTGATGAATCACGATCCGTCCAATGAAATCATTGGCCGTTTTGGTGGTCATTAATTTTTTATGTCATAACAACTTTCAATATCATATCATCTGCAAGAATTTTTTGTCATATAGTAACCAATATGATAAAAAGTGAGTAAGTGGCGAATTTTCAATAAAAATTCTTGCGTGTTGAAGCGTGAAAAAATCCGATATCTAAATTTCGATTGTAAAATGATGTTCGAGAATCAAGCGAACAGGAGACTTAAATCTATAAAAATATAACTCAGTACTCACTGCAGTGAGTGACAGAGAGCGCATTTTCTCGTCGACGAAAACGTGAAGTCACGGACGGACAGACAGATATTGCAGACGGACAGACAGACGGACGGACAGACGGACATGGCGAGCACAATAGTGCATTTTTTCATAAATGATAAAATGCGCTAAAAAGACAGGATATATACCTAAATATCAGTTGTGGAATTCAGTTGAGTTAAATATGAGTTGTGTTAATTTTTCCTCTAAATATAGAAAAATTCAGTTTCTATATTAAAGAAAAAAAGTAAACTTATAACCACCAGGAAGAGAATACCGGACATTTGCTCAGCCTCTGATGATTCAATCAAGTCGCTAAAATGAGCCTCAACGTAACCTTGTTATACCTGCCATTAAAATATTTACCGTGTGTCAAGATATAAAAAATAGGTTCAATTAACTTCACTTTGTTGTGTAGGCCGATGAACGATGAGTAGTTTATGGAATAACCAAAATTTATGTATAATTGGTCGCTTAATAATTGTAAATTGACCTCCTCAATCTGCATGTTCTCGTCCACTACAATGGTCGGTGTATAAATTGACGGTATTTAGAAACAAAAAAAAAAAAAAATAATTCAGAATGGAAATTGTAATAATTCACGATGAAAGTTATAATACTTTATTATTGATGTGTGAATTTGTAGGAGTGTGCGTTATAATTATTAAAATGGATTTATTATTTATTTTTGAATTTTTTTGCAAAAAAATTTATTTTTTACAATATTACAATATTACAATATATTACAATATTTACAATATTACAATATATAACATGGACTGTAAAATTTCGTTTTGATCGTCGCAGAAATAGTATTGTTCAATGTAAATGTATCGTTTATTGTGGAAACATTAGTTACAAAAAGTTGGGAACTTTTCTCTGACAAACTCACTAGTGACAATTTATTTCTTAATTTGCAGTAATTAAAAAAATCACAGAAATTTGGGCCGCTACTATACTATTTCAAGAAGAGGCGTGCTAGATTCACAATCATTCGAGAATTATCCTTGGACTAGATTAATGGCAATTTTAATTATATAGCTAAAAATGTGTGGAATGGTGGGAAATAAATTGAGCTCAATCTTGTAATACAGTATAGGTTTTCTTTTAATCCAGTCTAGACAAAACTAGTTTAGAGCATACTTAGTCAAATTACCTGATATTGATCAATCTTACATAGTTAAAAACTTTACCCAATGTTAGAATACAGTGATGTTAATAATTAATGTTGGTTTCCTGTCATGACTGAACTGTTAACTAACTTTTATCCTCAGTTACCTTCATTGGGTTATGTCTAAGATGCATCAGTAGAACCTCAGATCATGTCATCATTTAATACGTGTTTCTAGGAGGCAAGTTTAAAATGTATAACATTTAATATAGATGTTTATTGATGATATTTTGAATTTATGTAAAAATCTGTATTTGTTTCGTTTATATCTATAAAATTGCATAGATAGGTTTCTTTGTACAACATTTCTCGCACGAGCACCTGCCTCGTATTTAAGACACTTAATGTAAAACTCCGCTGAAATTTCCATCAACCTATGCTACAATCCATGTGATGTGTGGTAAAAGTTAAGTTATGAGTTACAATTAACTGTAAAGATACACAATACACGGGGTTTAAGCAATTGGACTAATTATCAATAGTTCTCGAATTGATTCGTGTAGTTCAAACGAAAAATTAACGAGGTAGAGCTATTTACTGTCTTAGTAAGTAATTAACGCACAACAAATACAGGTGAATTTGTTCTCGATTCAATCTGTTACTCTACATTGTTTTTGGAAACTTTCTTAATTCGATTTTCTAATATAAGTCAATGCTCGCAATTAATAATTACGTGAAACTATCACCCATAAAACTTTAAATGATATCAATCTATGTGTGAAGAATTATTAAAAACATTCCTGGTTTGAAGGAAGAGTTCAAGTCACCGCAGTGACTTCATTGCATCGTCTTAAAGGATTATTTTTGTGAAGCTTGACTGAAATTGGCTGGATTTTCTCCACATAGTGGAAACACTGGTCGATATGGCGTTGAAAATCTGGTACAATATATGAAGCAAACGTTGCATCATAATATCCAGACACAATACAAATGTTCTTCACAGTAATCTTGCAGGGTTGGGAACATGAAGAACTTCTTCGCTGCATTACATGAAGTGGTAAACTTGGCTGTAGGAAGTTCATTCACAGGTGAGTATATCCATAAGTAATTAAATGTCTGCAAATTAAAACCGATTGATATTGGGTGGTGTCAAGCATAACGATTTGTGTTGTATATAATCGCACCGAGTGACTGATTAAATCAATGTTCCTGATTTTGCTGTGTTTGCAGGAGCGTGAATTTTGCCAAACATTTTGCATCCGCAAATTCATTGCATTTTACCGCGTGTCAAAGTTGCGGAAATGTTTCCGATCTTTAAAATTTCACTTATATCTTTTCAGCGTTTATATTGAACAGAATGTGCTCAATTTGCATGCGAAACATAAAAAACAGACATTTATCGACTTGTAAATTTTGGTCATCGATGTATAGGTACATCAATCTAGGCGTTGCCAAAAAGTTATCAAAAATATAATAAATTTTTCGAATTAGCATCAAATGCAGCTTTAAATTATATCACACTTATATTTAATTAAATGATAAATGTATGATTTAAAGAGTTGCTCTATGGAGAGAATGCTGTTCAGTCCAAAGTAATAGTAATATATACTAATTTGTTTAAAGATAGCTGCAGCCTCGCTAACAACTAAATACGGTTTTTTATATGATGTAGCAACATACATGATAAAATACAACAATGAGAAAAAAAGATTAACACCCGTGGTATGACTATACACCATAAAAATGTACTTGTTATTTCTGAAAAAAAGTCGACGTAAACACACAGTGTTGAAATAAGCGGATCACCACATGGCGGCTACGGCAACAGGTATTTGGAGTCCTGTAGGGTAGGTAAGAATAGGGCCATTGGCGAGGGTTGGGGTGTGCGTCTTGAAATTCAGTCATAGGGAAAGTTTCAAGCTATAGGGAAGTGAACTTAAATATTGACCGATTTAAAATAAATAACATGAAAAAGCTCATTTATCATCGCGAATAATTTTTAAATATTTATTTAGAGAATGTGACAATTAGAATGAATATTTCATAGTAGCAACACTGCATCAGTAATTTCTCTTAGTTTAGTAGAAAAACAATTATCTTAGGTTAAAACTAATTTTAATTCTGTAATTTTCTCCAAAAAATGCTAATTTGAACTACCCCCTTTTTGTGGCCCACAGCAAGTGTGGTGTGTCGGCCCGTGCTACCGCCTCTTCAAGATCAACATGGCTACGGTGCGCAGGTTCTGGGAGACTTGCCTCATGGCGACATGGAGTCCGCTCATCATGGTGATGGGCTTGATATTCTCCAACATCAAGATACGAAACCAGCGACTCAACGACGGAGAAGATAAGGAACCGGAAGACCATTTCGCCGTTTAGTCCGCGTTTGCAAAATACAAGAGATTCTCTGATGTCGCAAGATTAGCAATTGAATCAGGCGTGGTGGGGGCTGAAACTGTCATCGTCAAAATTGGGAGTAGAAAGTTTGAATAGAATAACCATGATCATTATGCAATGAAAAGAGCTGTGCCCGCCTGAAAATTTCGCTTGAAAATAATATTTCACATAGAAATAATAAAACCAAAATAATAATAAGCTTGATCTCATCCTTGGCATTAATTATAGTGTTAAGAGGCATCTGGGTGTTCGTTTGCAGCAGTGCAAATTGTTTTTACCGATGAATAATATCTTCGCACAATACAAATTCGTTGTTTATTGATTCCAACAACAAAATTACTCGCCCAATGAACTTTAGAAGCTTTCACTGAAGAAAAGTCAATTTATCGGAAAAAATTTATTTATTTTACTTTTAAAGTAAATAATAAAAGCTTTAATGACAGATATTCCATTGTGAAATCGGTTCTATAATCATATATTACTCTTCGAAATGAAACATCTCTTGTAATAAAAAAGAATTATTATTTTCTTGCATACAAACATGGAGACATAACTAGAATATCTCACGTAGCCATGCCTGAGGTACGCAGTTGACCACTCAATGATTGGACAGTCGCAGGCGCCCTGGGGTACATGTGCCAGAGACACCCTACTCCCAGCATCACAATTTGTTTAATATAACTTTTTGTGGACAGTCGTAAGAGCAATTAATTACTTAATTTACAGCCACTAATTTGACCTTTTCACTTCATAATGTATAAGCTTATCAGCCTCGAGAAGCACAATATAATGGCACAGCTTCGATGACTCTCCACCACCAAAACCCTCACCCAACTGGTCCTAACCATCCGGCCAATGGCGGCGGGACGGTAGAGAGACGGGGCATCTGTGTAGCAGAAATATAATCATGATGGATTATATTTTGGGAGACCAGACGGTGATGGCTTTAATTTTATGAAGTGCTTAGAGTAAGCAAATCCAGGTGGGTGCTGGTCTGAGCTGCGATGCATGCTGAGGCTAGTCGTTGGCTCTTGGTCTAGTTTAAGTGTAAAATTAGTAGCCCCTCCGACCGGTGATAATGCCTGTCGAAAGAAATTTATAGTATGCTAATCCCGAGCTCAAGTGTTGTAACCATTCAAGTATACTATTGTGAAAAATTTATCAACGATAAATATTCATATGTCATTAACTGTAACCGTAATTTTTACCACTAAAAACCAATTTCAGGCGTAAATTTCGAATTTCCACTCGAGTATTGGTGTGTCAAAAGCTTTTGTATGAGTATTCATATTCCTGATAATGCATTACAGATGGATTAAATTACCTCAATAAGATCGCGACTATACCAGCGTCAACTGATCGATTGTACCCACCGACCTCACAGGATAGTCTGCCATTTGTATTCATCAATGAGCAGAGTTCAATCTTCATTAAAATGCTTACAATTATTGACAATAACGGCTCCTGAGTCAATATTGCCTTGAATGGATA